GGAGGAGCGGCGCGACGTTCGAGGCCGAGAAGACGGCCATCATCCACTTTACCCGCAATGACCACAAGTCCGACCCGGAACCGTATGTCATCAAAGGACGGCCCGTTGAGCCAAAGAATCACACCAAGATCCTAGGAGTCATCATGGACACTCGACTCAAGTACAAGGAACACATAGCAAGAGCGTCGTCAAAGGGCCTCAAGGCAGCACTTGAACTCCAGCGACTCAGGGGCCTGTCCCCAGCGACGGCGCGACAGCTGTTTACAGCAACAGTCGCACCGGTGGTGGACTACGCGTCGAACGTCTGGATGCACCGGTATAAGGACAAGCTCATAGGACCCATCAACAGAATACAGAGAGTATCGGCGAAAGCGATTATCGGCACTTTTCTCACGGTCGCGACAAATGTGGCAGAAGCCGAGGCTCACATTCTCACAGCTAAAGAACGGTTCTGGAGGAAAGCAGTCAAGATGTGGACGGACATCCACACTTTACCAGAAACGAATCCAGTCCGCGGGATGACGTCCAAAATGCGAAAATTTCGGAATTCCTACCGCTCGCCGCTCTTCCAAGTGGCTGAGGCTCTGAAGGACATACCGATGGAAAGGGTCGAGACCATCAACCCGCTTACGCTCTTACCATGGGAAGACAGACTAGAGGTCATAATCGGTGAAGAAGAGACAAGAGCGACAGGGACAGCCAGTACAGTCCGTGTGGCGGTCAGCAGCTCAGTGAGAAGGGAAATAGTAGGTGTCGGCGGAGTCGTTCAGAAACGGTCGGTGCTGCGAGACGACCCCGAGTTGCAGCCGTTCTCCTTCACTCTGGGCCCGAGGACCGAGCAGAATCCCTACAGCGCAGAACTGGCAGCAATAGCGTACACGTTGCGGAGGTCATTGCGAGGAGTCGCGAACGAGAGGATCACAGTGGTGACGAGCAATAAAGGGGCGGTACTCTCTCTCAAACGGCCTCACCAGCAATCTGGACAGGCGTACATTCGTAGTGTGTACGATTCGGTGGAAGAACTTCGCAAGGACAACAACATCATCACAGTACAGTGGTTGGCAGCAAGTGAGGAAGACAAACTGCTTAAGCAAGCAAAAACACAAGCGCGCGAAGCGACCAAAGACGGCGCCACCCCGCAGGTACAGTTTCCAATGATGAAGTCAACGACGCTCAACGTAGCACGGTCACAAGTGTCACAAGAACGCGCATTGCCTGAAAAGGTCGGACGATTCTCTAAAAGAGTCGACAAAGCGCTGCCAGGAAA